CCCTTCAGCACACACCTTAGACCCTAAGATCAGGTGTGTTAATTATGTTAATTCCCTCACCAGGGACCAGAAAAAAAGACTGTTTTTGCAGTTTTGAGCTCCTGTACACCATTGAACCTTTGTAGGAATGCTTACTCAATTATGAGAGGCAGTGGGGTTGATTTACTAAAACTAGAGAGTGCAAAATGGTGCAATTAGCTTCCAGGGTTTTTGGCAAAGCTTAATTGAACAAGCTGAAGTTAGAAGTTGATTGGTTACCATGCACAGCTGCACCAGATTTTTGAACTATCCAGTTTTTAGTAAATCAACACCAGTGACTCTGATAGATCTGCAAGCGAATTAAGCTCTACACAAAACCAAGAACCAGGTAAACGTACATTATTTTTTAATCGTATTTTTGAACCTTTACTCCTGTTTATTGTCTGTTTAGCACAATTTGTTATGTGAATATTTTATTCCACTATTTTTCTTTTCATTAAAACAACATTTACAAATTTTTAAGCTGTATTTCTGGATTAAAATAACTCTTACATCTGTGGGGAGCTACTTTATGGTAAACTCTGTTACATCCTTGTCTGGGTGTAACAGCCAGTGATACAGACATTTCTTTTAAAAGGCCAGAATTGCAACATGTAAGCAGGTGCAGTACAGCATCCGAGCTGTAGGTGGTGCTGTTTTTCAGTGCTGCTACAGGAGGAGGATGGAGGATAAGAGGAACTTTGTTCCTCTGAAGCCTCCATATGTGCCATCAGGGTAGCAGCCATTGGATTGGATGCTGCAACCCTGAATGACCCTGGGTGGCCATCTTGAGTAAGGGCAGTGCTAATAAAAAGAACTCTCTCACTGCTTGTGGCACACATTTGAAAAAAGTGGATAGTGTTGGGAGAAAGCCCCCACTGGTTAGGGACAGTATACTAGTAGGGAGAGGTTTCCGGTGATGATGGATTTTTTTTCTATCCTGGGACTTAGATTTGGAACTGAAGACGTCTGTCATTCGGCAAGCTGTGCACTGCTATCAGCCTCCTTATGCACTCAAATGCTATTGTTAGTACAGTAAGCACCATTAGTGTGGTTACCAATTTTTGGGCTGTGTTACAATATTGCTGACTCTCATACAAATTGAACTATTGCTTTACCAAGACTCTGTAAATATACCACTGGGATTGCCAAGCAGATCATCCCTCCTCCCTGTTACTGCTGTCTACTCTAATACAATTGTGCCATTTCATCTAGTCTCTGAGTGTCATTACTGGGAAAAGAGCATGTTTCCTTTAAAACAAGTGGTGCCGGCTACAGTATGTGTGTGTGTAAACGTTTAATGATGTAGTTAACCAGCCCCATGACAATTACTCTCAGTCTGCTAGTGTTTAGAAAATTTCTGCACGGAGTAGTATTTAACATTGTTATTTTCACATTCTGATCAGAGGTTTGGCTGGTAAGTTTATCTATCCAAGTATTGTCCCATCTCATACAATGTACATGGTGGTGTTTGGGGTTAAATCTTTTTTACCATCTGAGGGATTTATGCGTTTTTTTGGGCATTTGAGGGGTTAATTATTATGTGGTATTTGGACATATGAGTCTGATATTATATAAGTCATACAGAATAATATATACTTTTTTTATATTTACATTGTACAGCATCCCAGATGCTTTGTTTCAGATTGATTTATGATGATTTAAAGTATAGTTCAAAACAGCTCAGATTCTCCAAGTGTTGCACAAATTTATATCCCCATCTTTCAATATATGATAGTAATGAGGCTTGGTTCACATACATGCATTTTGCATTTGATGCTTTCTCCACTGCTTTTTGCAGTTTGTTTTGCATTTTTCTACAATGTTTTGACACGTTATTGCTGAGTTTATACTGTGTTTTTTTTTTTTTTTTTATGTTAAAGTGGAATTTATTTTGTTGCTGGGCAGAATAAAAATGCCAAATGAGGCAAAAATGCACTAGCATGCATTTCAGCAGCTTCCATTGAACTGTAGCAAAAACACTGCTTTTTACGTTTAAAAATGTCCCTGACCCTTTCCAAAAATCAGCAGCTCAAAAAAGCATAGATGTCAACATGTTCCATAGGAAACCATGTTAAATGGACTGAAGTGCGTTTTGCTGCAAAAAGCACTAAAATGTATTGGTGTGAATGAAGCCTAAAACACAGAGGCCTTTTACCATTTTCCGCTTTACCAATATTATCAGAGCATGGGTTTTAAAGCCCAACTTCAGGAATATTAGCACCCCTCCCCACACTCTCCCTTTTTAATGCCTTGCTGGTATTAAAAAAAATACAATTCAAATGCACATTTTAACTTACCTGAAGCCACAGTCATATAACAATACTTTTTCTCTTCTTCATTATACTTCCTAGGGGTTCTTCTTCAGGTGTCCATATCACTGCCTGCACGATGTGGACATCTTCTAGTGGTGGAAGCTACACTTGCAGCTGCTGGGTCCTCTCTCAAAGGCTCCAGAGAGGCAGGGGAGGTGGGGTGACCCGTATCCAAAAAGATAACGAGCAGGGGAAGATGCTTGGTCTCCAAGGTAGGAAATTAATTTGGTTCAGAGAGGAAACTGTGTTTGATCCAATACCCTGCAGGATGGCTTAGGAAGAGGTGTTTGGAATGAAGACTGAGGAGTAAGGTAATGGAGGCACAATGCACTATATAAATGTCATTTTTCTCTGTAGTTGGCCTTTAAACATAAGTCAGGGACACTGAGTTGTACAGTTCATTGCGTGTGTTTAAATATTTGTATTTTTTTTTGGTGTGTTTTTTTTTTACATTAAATTTTTATTAGAAATATTTCAAACTTAAACAGTACAACGTAGTGACTGCTTTGTACTCTTTATGTTTGAAAAATTTCAAAGAGTGACTGTAAGAGCATAGGATATGAACAACAATAAGAACGTTTCACTGGAACATATATCTTTCATAATAACAAACATCAAGAATTAAAGTATTGTTGATTAGGGAATTACAATCAGGCATGTAATGATGCATATGTAACAAACATACCTATAACAAGGATGTTCAAAATAACAAAGGAAGTGACTTACTGAAGACTGCAGAAAAAGATATAGAACGGAAGGATGTCAAAAATGAACATTTGAAGGCATATTATGTCTCAATAAAATACAGTATGTTAATGTAACTTATTATTCTTATACCAAGTGGTCCAAGTTTTCCAAATTTTATCAAACCAAACATTTTTATTATTGTAATAGGCTAACTGTTCCCTTAATTTTGATCTCTGGGGATACAGGCACATACAGCTCATTGTATGTTTTTTATATATTCATATTTCACTGTATAGGACATTATTTTCCTTAATGTATTTTATAAGTGTAGCGCCACCTCCTAAGGAGCCGCTGGATTTTGGATACACCTATTTTCTGCACAGCCAGGCAACATGCATTTTCTGCAAACACACATAATCAAGAATCCAGTCCATGGGCTTGTTTTCATTGTATTATTTAGGGGAAATCAACTTGGATAAGGGTTTAGGGGTTACGGGATACCCAACTTGACTAGAAAGAACAGTTTGAAGGCAAACTTCTTGCGTTTATGTAGAAAAATTGATCCTAGATGTTACCCAGCTGGGGTGGTATCAGTCCCTTAAATGATCAGTAGCAATGTTATTTTAAGGAGCACTAAGTCCTCTTGTGTAAACTCTCACATAGTCACAACACTTTGTGAGAAAATGCCAGCCCTCCTGGCTGCTTTGAATAACTGTCCCAGAGAAAGGGATTAGAGTAGCCATGACACTGTCCCCATGAAAACATGCTGGATATTATATCTGGCAGCCTTCTCCCTTATAGGCCCTGGTTGTGTAGAGGTGCTCACTCTGTCCCTTGTATCCTGCTGCTTTAGACAAGACTGCTTGTTCAGGCCTTTAACTGTGCTAGCTTTCCCATGTGTCACCTGGATAGGACCTGTATTGAAGTTTTGCTTTCTAGCTTCTCCTCCTTCCTACTCAGCTTTCCAACCTGGAGGCAGAGCCCCCTTTCCTGGGGTCCCCTCCCAGTCCTCAACACTCCATCTTCCACTCGATTACCAAACTCCCATGCTGGCTAGGAGCTCTCGTATTTCTGGGTCCATCTGCCACACTGCCAGGACTCCTGCCTGGGATGGTTAGACTTCCATGAATATGCAGATCTTGGTCTCCACTCCTTCGCCCAGTAGTTTCTAGAAGTTTCCATGGACCTCCATAACCAGGGGGAGGCAATAGAGACTTGACCTATAGAGCCCTCCAGCCTGACCTAAGCTTGACCCCCACAGACATGCTCACTTCAGTTACCTCTGTGAGCCAAGCTAAATTGACCTCTCTAGCAAAACTAGAGGCTGCTACATATGCAACTACTGTAAGTATGCGATTTTAATTTTTCTATCCCCCTCTTGCAATTCACTATACTTGGGCATCTACTGCATGCAATGTGCTGAAAATGAGCATGTTGATAGCAAGGAAAAAGCAATATAAGCAAAGTTAACCTCCCTAGCGGTATGATTATGATTATGTCAATATTTCTGTGCTCAAAGTGGTACTTTTTTTTCATGGAAATATGTATTTTTTTTATGTAGGCCTGTAATTTTTAGGAATAACTCACTGAAATCTGTCCGAACAAGAGTCTAGTAAACATCCCGGGTAGGATAAAACTTGAAACACGAAATCAAAAATTATAATTTAATAAATAATCATAAAAAAAATAATAATAATAAATTTAATTCAATAATTAATCAAACCAAAAACACAGAAATTGAAATATAGCGCCAAGTTCGCACATCACTGAGCCAAAGTTGCAAAATCGGTTTCAGTGTCTGATGAGACTTTCCCCACGAATCATTATCAATTCTGCAAGTGGTTCTGATTTACTAGAACGTCTAAAACCGCTTTTTGACCTAAAGGGACACTTTTTGGACACCATGGACATTTCTCAGTTTCCAGGCAGAAAGAACAGTAAAAATGTAGGCAGGGCACAGGACAAAGCACTAGGGACAAAATGTATGTGAAATGGTTTGATACAGTAATGTTTTACTATGTGATTTTAGTGAATGTCACTTTTTGTCATTTTCAAATTTCCCGCCGTTCCGTCCCCGTACGTCCCGACGCTCGCAGGGGACGGAACCCAGATGACAGATGCCGGCATCTGCCGGGGACACTGCAGGAGGGATATCGCAGGAGCACAGGACAAGGTAAGTGATCGAGGGATCCCGGAGCAGCGCTGCATAGTAAGCCCGAGTGTAGCTCGGGGGTTACCGCTTGTGGTACTGAAACTTTACCCCGAGCTACACTCGGGAATACCACCCAGGGAGGTTAACAGACAGGGGAGTGGAGGGATAACAAACACTGTGGGGGAGATTTACTAAAACTGGAGCACTCAGCATACTGTATGGTGCAGCTGTGCATGACAGCCAATCAGCATCTAACTTTAGCTTGTTCAATTAAGCTTTGTCAATAAAACCTGCAAGCTGATTGGTTTCTATGAAGAGCTGTAATAGACTTTGCATCCATGCAATTTTAGTAAAAAACAACCCTGTATTCCCTAACTGTCACAGATAAAGTAATTTTATCTCTCAGGCTTTGCTGTATGACTGGACTGTGTAAATCTTAGGACTGCAAGATCAGGAATACAAATGCTTTGGCTGGAAAAACACCCTCTTATATGTATTTCGTTTGTGTATTTAGATGTTTGCCAGGAATTCTGCTTTAATGTTTCTTAAGCAGTCTCCCACAGGAGCAGTAGAGTACTCAGAATTTTTGGTTATCGTTAAGGAAATTAGACCATGCAACCTGTAAAAATTCTTTACATGGCTGTAAAATATATAAATGTGTTAGGAATCTCCAAGATTTATTCCTGTGCTAGGATGAAGACAGGATTGAGACAATCTGTAGATGAGAGCATGATGAGTAATTTATATGTACTATATGTATATATATATATATATATATATATATATATATATATATATATATATATATATATATATATATATATATATATACACACACACACACATATATACACACACACATATATACACACACACATATATACACACAAACACTATGCAAACATTTTGGGTGCGTTTGAAAAAAAATGCTGTAAATTAGGAATGCTTTCAGAAATAGAAATATTAACCGTTTATTTTTATCATTTAACAAAATGGAAAGTAAATGTATGGAAGAGAAATCAAAATCAAATCAATATTTGGTGCGACCACCCTTTGCCTTTCTAAACGGCAAGTAAGCATGATGTGTCTTTCATTTGCTGCATTAAAATTATATCAAAAGCAATGTTTTTTTTTTTAATAGTAAACATGTCATACTTACCTGTCCTGTGCAATGGTTTTGCTCAGAGCAGCCTAATCCTCCTCTTCTTGAGTCCCCCAGCAGTGCTCCTGGCTTCTACCTCCTGCCTCCATAGCAAGCAGCTTGCTACGGAGGCACCCAAGTAGGCTCACTCCTGAGCCGCTGCTCTGCATGTCCAATCACACACAGAGTGTGGCTCAGCCCCGCCCCCACGGTCACTCATTGGCTCACTGAGCTGTGATTGACAGTAGCGGGAGGCAATGGAGCTCACTGCTGTCTCAGCCAATGAGGAGGGAGAGTCTTGGGAGATCCGTGGCTTTTGTGCACATTGCTGGATTGAGAGGGGGCTCAGGTAAGTATTAGTGGAGGCTGCTGCACACGGAAGGTTTTTTTTCAGCTTCATGCGTAGAATACATAAATGGTAAAAACCTGGGGCCTTTACAACCACTTTAAGTTGCCTTGGCTGACCACTGTGTCAATATCTTCAGTGTTGCCTGTTTCTTTGGGCTTTTTCAAAAAAACTTGAACAGTACATCTTGAAACCCCAGTCTGCTTTGAAATCTTTGTCTGAGAGTGACGTTGCTGATACAGTATAACTACTTTGGGTTTTCTTGCAGTGCTTAGTCTTGCCATGGTGTATGGCCTGTGACATGAATTTATCTTCCACAACCTTTCCTTAGTAGCAGAGTTTGGCTGTTCCTCGTCCAGTTTTAATCCTCACACACAGCTGTTTCTGTTTCAGTTAATTCAGTTAATGACTATATGGGTTCAACCTAAATATGTTTTGATTAATTAATCATACACCTGACTCTAATCCTAAAAAAATCCCTGACTTTGTGCAAGTGTACAAAGTGTGCAAGTGTGAGAATTGATGTTGGTTTGAAGCCAAAGGGTAGTCCTACCAATTATTGATTTGATTCAGATTTTTCTTATGTTAATTCACTTTGTATTTCGTAAATTGATAGAAATAAACAATTGAAACATGTAGTTTTGAAATACTTTATACTTTAAAGCAGCAGCTAAGCCCTGTATCTGAAACCTGGGCCCAGTGCCAGAAACAAGTTTCGGTACTTGGCTCCAGTGACTTGCCTGGCAGGGTGTGCTGATGTGGGCACCAGTGACACCTGCCTTGCAGTTTGTGCGGGGGTGTGCTCGGATCCCGCAAGCTGCAATTCCTGTGTATGGCAGCTGCATCCCTCCCTCTCCCACCACCCCCAGCTACCTCACACTAGTACAGTAAGCACGCATATCCCCAAAGCACCCCCTTGCACATACAGTATCCTCTTATCCCCCCCCCCCCCCCCCAAAATCACTGCAAGTATTCTTCTTTGGCAACTTGCCCCCCTTCCCTTATCTTCACAGAGATGTTGGCTGCAACAGAGGGGACAATCATGACATTTAGGACACCCCGAGACACCTTGCTACAGATTCAGGGCAATTGACCAAGTGCCCACACTAATGCCCCCATGCCAGGCCAGAATTTTTTTCAGCACTGAGCTCCGAGTCTCAGGACCAGTTCACACCACGAATCACACAGAAACGCACTGTGTGTTCCTGTGTATGATTCACATGCCTACCAGGTAAAGTACAATTTCAGCCCATTCATTTGAAAAGGCTGAAATTGTGCCGTTCCACCCCAGGAATTGCGCATGCACTACTTTGCATGGTACTACTGATCATACAATCTGGTGCAGGCAAACACACTGCATTTGCGAACTGCATTTGGGGAGTTGTTAAGTTGACACCCACTGCAGATCGCAACTGCAGTGCATTTTGAATGAGGTGTGGAAAACGCACACAGATTTCCCTCACTCAGGATTTTGTTCATATCTCAGGAAGGTCCCAACGCAGCCGTAGACACTGGGGATGGGGGGGGGGGGGGTTGCCTTGTGGAGGGGAGTGGCAGGAAGATGGTGGGGTGGGGGTGGGGATGGGGTCACCAGAATGCACCTTCGGCCTGTGTGTCCACAGGCCCTGAGTATCATGTGCCCTGTCCTGAACCCGCTCCCCGTACTCCCGGAGTCTATGGGAAGCTATTCAAGCAGATAACCTTCTCTGCGCACACACAATAATAGACGGTTTTAACTCTTCTGTACTTTATTGGCATGTTGCAGATAAATGGTAAATCTATAACATACAATCACTATACAATAAACATCACAGATAAACTAACACTCAATATAGCTAAGATCCTCTTCTATACAATCCTAGCTACCTATAGCAGAGAAAAAGGGACATTAATTACCTCCGATGCCGTCAGATGGAAAGAGATAAGAGTTTGGTGCTTCTCTCATGTAGAGAATCATGGTTTCCTATGAGGTGGTTCACTTCCTGTATTGTGGGAGGAGCAATTACCTTTACATCACATCCTGGTTTAGCTAAATAACGCAGCTCTGAGGTTTAGCCAGTAGGTGGCACAAGAGAACAGATAACTAATCTGTACATAAAACATGACTACAATCAAATGCAAAACAACATACAATTATTAGACAGGTCAATCTTGACCATGAAGTCCTCAGAAGAGAATGTATTCTGGGGACAGGATGTGGCAGGCGCAGCACCCTTTGGTGCCTAGTGCGCTGTGGCATTAGAAAAATTATGCAATTGCTGTTTCTTTGTTTGATTAGACTGACTTTACTCTGTAATTCCTCCAATGCCGCTCTATGGATGCAGTAGGTTTAAAGAGCACACCGAATACTTTAGTTAACTTCTTTAATAACTTCAATCTTCTTCATATAACACTGCTTACAATGGCTTGTTTCTTTCATATTACAATGGTTTAATTCGTATTACATTGGGTTGATTCGATAGATTGATAAATTCACTTGGATTTATAATTCGATATATTTGATAAGTTCGTTCGTAAATTTGTAAGTTCGTTCGGTGGTAACTACAAGTAAAACACACACAACAGTTTCAACACACAGATCCACCTGCACTGCCAAACAATAGAGGAACACACAAGTGCATTAAATACCTATTTGGCCTTCTCTGTCTCCATAAAGCTCTTCTGATTGGAACTGTCTGTTTCCTCTTCTGTCTGGTGAGCATGTGTCTCTAGAAAATCCTAGCAGGGAGTTTTACACAGGCATAGATGTGAAACTGGCTGGGATTGGTTAAGGCTCTGTACAGTATGAGGCTGTCTGTGATTGGCTCATCTTTAACTAACTCTTAAAGGCATATTTTCCTTTTCTGCTTCTGCTAACACAATGAATATAGAAATGTCATATAACAATCAAAGACATAAATTACAGCAATGATTCTGCTTTTGGCTTTAATATATGCACATATATACTGTACTGAGGTTATTGGCAGGTTTGGTATACACATATATGCAACCTAGGACTGGTCTTAGCTGGCCAGCTACACAGGACATGCCCCTTATAAAGAGCAAGGTTTAATGGATTATTTAGCCCAGGGCGTGTGCACAGTTGAGGAATATTTTTTTCACTCCTGTGGCATCTGGTGCTTCTCTTCAGTCTCTTCTGCTCTGGAAATGTGGACAGGCCCTTGAAATCCTGATGATGCACAAAGCAGGACCACTGGTTGAAGAGGCTGCAATTGGACATTGGGTGAAAAAGAGAGGCTTTGTGGAATCAGTCGTAAAGTGAGGAGGGAACCTATGATCAATAAGGAAAGTATTCCCCTACTCTGCACACTCCCTAGACTAAACAAGATATTCCATTTTTTATCTGGATGAAGGGGTACATGATACTAACATCTTACTGCGGACTGAAGTTCAGCTTTTATTACTTAAAAGGGTGCAAATGACAGATTTCAGTGAAAAGTGATTACAGAGTCAATACACAAGAATGAAACATAACCCTGCTCATTATAATCAAAGCAGTAGGGAAATATTAGACACAATAAGGCCCCTTTCACACAGGTGCTAAGTCTGTCCATTTTTCATCTGTCTATTAATAGATGAAAAATGAACAGAAATTAATTTCTATGGACAAACGGAAAATCAACCATTTACATCCGTTTACATCCACATCTGTTTAGT